ATAAATATCGTAAGTATAACGCAAGTTCTAAACATAATATCCCAGTGTTACAATAGTAAGAGCATATTATAGTGCTTCCTCTATCCTTTGATATTACATTCCAGCCTTTTAAAATCTGAGACCTCGAGTAAATCCAGTTATTTTGCTCCTACCCTTAATGGGGTTCATAAAGGAAACAAAAGACCACTCTGGAAACATATTTTTTTAAAGACAGACTCTTTGTGGTTGAGGAAACCTCTTTATTAAGTTACGTTCGTTTCAGCCGAAAGACGTCCACTGCTGGACAAAGGCGTCCCCAAGGATTTCCACAAAGACCGGTCCTGCGCCGCTTGCATCCAGGTACTTCCCGCGACCTTCACCAGATCGTCGGTCCACCTAGTGGGAGGCCTGCCCACGCTACGTCTTCCAGCTCGTGGTCGCCACTCAAGAACTTTCCTGCCCCAGCGGCCATCAGCTCTTCGAGCTATGTGCCACGCCCACTGCCACTTGATTTTAGCGATTCTGCGGGCTATGTCAGTCTACGTCTCAGAGCCATACTCCATCACTGGCAACACACATTAAGTTACGTAGCTAAATGAAAAATAAAAGCAACAGGCTGTGGAGCGACAGTTGGTTAATGCGGGCAAACTAAGCTTTATAGGCTTCAAATCTACTATGTACTGAAATTAGTATTAACATGCTCCAGGTCAAATCCTCCATTTATCTTTGGAAAATGGAGAGCGTGGTGCTCAGAGACTAAAATAAAAATTAAATGATGATACCCCATTATATGAATTAATTTGAACCTTTAAGTTTACTTATACTGTAACAACCGTTTCTTAGAACGACATTTAAAAGTTGAAGTGTAGAATCACCCACATAAACTTTATCTCCGATTAATGAAGATGCTATTTTATTTCATTAATCGTACAATTAACCTTTCCACCAACAACCAACAGTGGTGTTTTGTTTTAAGTTTTCCATTAAAGTGACGACTGTATTTCTCTGACCCAAGCCAAAAAATGTTAATATTAGGTTCCGGCCTATAAAAATAATTCACCTGAAATTCGACTTCAAACTGTGCCTGAAAACGTGCCTATTTATTTATAAATTCAACACCAAAAGAACGAAAGCCGCTTTAAAATACCAGTGCGCGAAATATTGGCCAAAATATTGGGCAAATTATTTGAATGGCTCTCAACCAACTGTCCAATAGCACCTAAATCATTTGGAGAACACTTGTCTGCGCATATCTGTCGCATGCATGGTACGGTCGATATAATCAAGGTAAATACTGTAGCATCGCATTGCAGCGTTTATAGTCTAACTAGCTTTCCGCCCGCGTGGAATGTTATCTGTCAGAGAGAAAAACTTTATCGCGCGCGGCCCTTTTTCAAAATCCGGATAAAAACTATCCTATGTCCTTTCCCGGGACTCATACTATCTCTATGCTAAATTTCATCAAAATCGGTTTAGTGGTTTTGGCGTGAAAGCAAGACAGACAGAGTTACTTTCGCATTTATAATAATAGTATACCTAGATGTTCTGTGAAGGAAGTATTGCATAAATCTTTAAGATTTTTAAATGTTCCAATTTTTGGTAATTCGCTTATTTTAGTGCTGTTCAGTTTGATGTGGAATAATGTAACAGTGTTCCTCCCCCAAAATGTAAGATAGAGCTATTAAAATATCTAACCTTAAAACTAGCAAACATTCAGTTCGTTAAACAAAAAGTACAGAGACCAAAAGACAGGCAGGTTAGGTAATTTTATTATTGTTAAAAATAAAAAAAAGATTATTATACGAATAAAATACCTAGTTAAAATGTGGATTGGGTAGAGTTGGTTTAAAGAGCTTGATAAAGGTGATATTGTAAAACCAGTAATTAACTAACAAATCCAAAACAATTTATTGTATGAAACTTAACCCTTACGCTAACGTTCTAACCTACTTCCAACCAAGTTTCCAAGTATACAAGTCCATGAAATTCTCAGTACTAGAGTTGTAAGAAACTCGAGTCTTTTTAGAGTCTTGAGTCTTTTTTCAAGACTAGGACTCGTTATTCACACGAGTCCGAGTCCTTTGCGTCTTTTTGGTCATTATGAGTCTTTTGAGTCCTTTCGAGTCTTTTAAGTTCTTTAAGTTATTTTTATTTACTCCAAAAGATTCAAGCTATGGATTTAGAGGACTCAGTGTCAGTCATAAGTTCTTTTAAAAAAGTCTTTTTAGTCAGTCTTTGAGTACTTTTGACTCAAGTCTTTTCACAAAAGACTCAAAATTCTGAAGGTCTTGAGCTCTAAGTTTTATTTATAAGACTCGAGCCTTAAAAATAGCGGTACTTTTACTGAGTAAGACTCTAACGCCCATATTCATAAACGATGCTTTCTTAAGTGAAGCAGCAAATAGAACTCACAACGTTGAATTGAGCTCTGTGGCTCGTGTGTCACCCTGTGCGTCCACGGCCACTGTGAGACCTCATAGTATTATTTGTGAAAACGGGCGATAGACTCAAGTTACAACACTACTCAGTGCGCTCAAAAGTTGCAAGTGCAAGCTTTACACCCCATCGCAACAGGCTTGAGTGCAGCTAATACAATATTAATCCCGTGTCTTCGCCTGTCTTCGCAGCTCTGCGATCATTAATTCATGGTACGGAACACAATAAACGCATTAGGAAGTGGCTTTGCAGTTTCACGATGGAATTGCATATCACTCCGTGTTCTATTGATTAACGACGTATTCACAAACGATACTTGCTTAAGTGAAGCAGAAAATCGAACTCACAGCGTTGAATAGAGCTCTGTGATTCTGATTAGTTCGTGTGTCATCCTGTGCGTCCACGAGCACTGTGCGAGCTCATAGTAATGTTTGTGAATACGGGCGTAAGTCATACATAACAAGCACTGCTGCACTGTTATGTAGTCTAGATAGGTCAAAGACCTGATTCATGAATAGACCCATTTGAATGTTTAATTTAGAATTTGCCTGTGTTTGGTCCAAAAATGTGTTTGAATCAAATTTCAAACGTTACGCATTAAAATATATTGCTTTGTGACTTAAGTTTTTATAATAAGTGATATTTTATAACCCTTAAATAACTCTTAAAATTCTTCCTAATTTTGATGTAGAATGCTCAACTCCAAACTTTACGACGCTCACAAATCCTTGAAGTTCGTCCCAAAACCAATGAATTAAATTCGACACATTCTTTGAGGAGGGTTTACGAGGCCCCTTCGCAATTATTTTGAACATGGGTTACCTACATTAAATGGCTTTACACATGCTTATTAGATCCCTTTTCAGACTTTGTGGTTAGATAAAAGTAAACTAAATTATCTATTACCTTCTTGTTTCTAAGAGTTAGGTTTGCGTAGCCGTATTTATCCATCTGACAACAAAATATAGGATTTTGGGATATTTTGTGTCCTATTTTTTGCCTTATTAACATAGCATGACAAACATATCTAGTTACAGATCTCTGAGTCATTACATTGAAGATAATTAGATATTTCTTTTTGGGTATCGGTATATTATTCATCAAATAATGTTAGATACAACAAAAATCTTGAAGTTGTTTCGTCTATGTATTTTCTAAGCATCTTAATAAAATTGTCAATTTGGTAATAATGTATCAGTTAATCTTTTGTCATCTGACATGGCTTTATTACCCACAGGTAGAGCGATGACATCATAAAGGTACCAGGAAGGCGCTGGACGCAGGCCGCTACCAACCGGCAACGTGTAAATCATTGGGAGAGGCCTATGTTCAGCAGTGGACGTCCTGGCTGATATAATGATGATGATGGCTTTATTAATCTAAATCTGACATCATTTCCAAACTCTAAAATATTAACGTAGTCAAATAGAAAAGAGCATTGACCTGGTTTACTTATATTGTCATCATACCGCGCCTTATAATAACTACGCACCGTTCGCGTACAATATTTCAAGAGCACAGGTGTCCAGAGGTGTGGGGAAGTGCTGCATAATTGTCGATAGTGCGGCTTATCGATAGTTGACGACGTAAACTATAGAAACATTCAATGTCAAAGTCAAAATTCTTTTATTTGCATGGAATATTAAAAATAGGGCTTACAAATCGTCCAATATTAAAAAAAATAAAATTAAAAACTAATAGAAATATCTTAAGCATTAAAGTCTATTAATGACACAGTCACTAACAAATAAAATCCTTGGTCATTTTACACTGCAGCTGCGCCACGAAACTTTGGTGGCATACGGTATGCCATAATCGTCTGGCATAACCTATGGTCATCGATATTTTTAAATTACGTACGCCAAAGTATCAATAAAATTATTCTAATGTACCAATAAAGCTAGCAATATTATCACTATGTACCATTAGTACATACATTATTATAAGATCGATAGTACTGCCCATAAAACATTGACAATATCGATAATGGATTATGAACAGCAATAAAACGGGGACCCTCGTCAAATGACGCTTACCTGAACGCACGCGGCTTTGAGCACTTTTGTACCCCTTTGTTGTAGGAGGATAGTTCGACAGTGCGTTGACAGTCTGACTGAGGAGGGACTGCAATATGCTGGGAAAGATATAAGTGTTATGAGGGCACATTATATCTGGAGGGTTATGAAAATGGCGGTAAAAATGTAAATAGGATTTTTTCAGCTACGGTATTTGGTTTATCTTCAATACTTAGATCTATCACGGACTAGAACTACGATTTAAAGGTACATCCTCACCTAAGCATTTGCCTGTAATGTAATGTTTCAGAGTCGAGTATTACACTGTTGTAAGAGAAGAAGAACTGAGCATAATAGTGTGCAACTTGCTTATACGAGGGCTGCACTAAAAGTATCGGGAATGGAATATTTCCACTGTTCCAGTCATATTAAAATCTATTTAATTGCAAACTCCAGGGTTTTAAAAATCGTATACCATTTATTTATTTAAAAAAAGATTCTCGGTCGTATCACAAGGTCTTGTCAAACTTGTTTAGTCGTTGAGAAAATGGAATTGAGTCACTCGAGGAGGTCAGCCGTCAGTCATCAAGTTATTCTATCGAAGAACAGAATTGTGAAGATCATTTTGTCAAAAATATGACTCGCTTAGAGGATGGCCGTTTTTGTGTTAAAATACCTCTAAAGAATTCTCCTGAGGTTTTAGGCGACTCATTACAAAGAGCAAAACGCTGTTTTTTATCTATGGAACGCAGAAATATGTCCCAGCCACCTCTTGACAAAATGTACAAGGAATTTATGTCAGAGTACATATCTTTAGGCCACATGTCTGAGTCTATAATTGATAAAAATAAGATTAATTATTTTTTACCTCATCACGGCGTATTGAGAGAACACAGTTTAACTACCAAGCTACGCGTAGTATTTAATGCCAGTGCGCCTACTACTTCCGGTATGTCCCTAAATAACTTACAGATGGTAGGACCAACCGTGCAAGACGATTTACTGTCAATTTTAATCAGGTTTAGAATGTACAGATACGTATTATCAGCTGACGTGGAGAAAATGTACCGACAGGTATCTGTACATCCCTCTGACAGACACTTGCAGCAAATCATCTGGCGTGATGCTATGTCAAGTCCACTTAAGGTGTATGAGTTAAACACCGTCAGTTATGGCACAGCGAGTGCCCCGTTTCTGGCAACAAGATGCCTGAAACAAATCGGCATTGAATGTAGTGACAAAGATATCTCTGAGGTTATTATTCATGACTTTTACGTAGATGACCTGCTGACTGGCGCTGACCAAATCAACCAGGCCCTTTCAATCCGCAATAAGGTTACTCAAGCTCTTGCTTCTGCTTGCATGCCATTGAGGAAGTGGAGGTCTAATGAGCCAGCCTTGTTGTTTGATAACCAAAGTCAGTCACCCTTCAACTTAAACATTGAAGATTCCGACGTTCTTAAGACTTTGGGTTTAAATTGGCAAACGCAATCGGATGAATTATGCTTTCCAATAAATATTCCTTCCCCAACTAACAACACAAAGCGGGAAATGCTTGCTATTATTGCACGGGTTTTTGACCCTCTAGGATTGTTAGCTCCGTGTGTCATCAAATTGAAAATCATGCTGCAAACACTATGGCTTAAAAAGGTAACTTGGGATGAGCCACTGCCAGCTGATATTTTAACAACATGGGCTTCACTGATAAAATCCTTTCCAACACTAAGCAATTTACNTACTTGGTGCGTCAGAACTCTCGGGAGATTACATGCAGGATCCTCAAATGCTGTATACAACATCGTATCAGGTGACGAATCATGGATATACGCGTACGAACCCGAAACAAAAAACCAGTCACGAGTTTGGGTGTTCGAAAATGAATTAAAGCCAACAAAAATTGTTCGTTCACGGAGTGTTGCAAAAAAAATGGTGGCCACGTTTGTCTCCAAAACCGGCCATGTTGCGACTATTCCTCTTGGGGGACAAAGAACGGTTAATGCAGATTAGTATGCTAGCATTTGTTTGTCACAGGTCGTTTCTGAACTCCGTAAAGAGAACTGCAACCGCCGCATCATCCTCCATCACGACAATGCGAGTTCTCACACCGCGCACTGAACAAAAGAGTTTTTAGAGCAAGAAAACATAGAATTATTAGTCCATCCGCCGTACAGCCCCGACCTAAGCCCTAATGATTTCTATACTTTCCCTAAAATAAAGAATAAATTGCGTGGTCAGAGATTTTCATCACCTGAAGAAGCTGTGGAAGCCTACAAAACGGCCATTTTGGAGACCCAAACTTCCAAATGCAATGGTTGCTTCAATGATTGGTTTCGTGTATGGAAAAATGTGTCAAATTTCGCGGAGAATACTTTAAAAAGCAATAAATACATTTTAAATAGTAATGTTGTTTCACTTCCTTGATTCCCGAAATTTTCAGTGCCGCCCTCGTACAGTGTGTTGTAATATAATATTTTCTTTTAATTTTGTACAATCAAATCTGAATTTTATTATTACAAACAAGCAAAATGCTCGCCTAGTCAGGGACACAATATTCTGTAATTTAGGTAATAGGTACCTCTATAATCTAAACACCAAACCCGCTGACCCTCCGACATGAGTCGTCGACATGATTATTTTGAAACAAAGCCGCCGACACCGAACGGCGGCTTGGTGTTTACGAGTAGAATCCTTCATGCTCAAAATCTAATCTTAAATCCTCGTTATTACAGGTGAATGCCTGGTGAGGAAGCACCTTAAGGTGTCATTCTATGATTTGGACCCTAATATCGGTATCATAAGGAAATTATAAAGTTATAAATACAGTTAAAATACAGTCAATAGCTACATTTCAAAATAGTACCTTTTATATAAACAAAAAATACCAAAGTATTTATCTTGATGTGCCGTTGCCTGCCTTGTACCAAGGCCGGTGTTCAATAACAAAATAACAGCCTACTTCCGCCGGATACGAGAGCAATCAAGTATGCAGTGGAAAGTAATTAGCAAGTTTGCGTATAGCAAGAGATAGAACGAAGTCTATGTAAAGTTAGTTATCAAAGTCAGTAAATGTCTGATACAACTGAGTTTATGCTATTATTTTTTTTGTTTTCAGTCTCCTATAGTATAGATTAGTAGGGAATTCGATTATTTTCTAATGATATTGAAGATAAAGTGTTTCTGTTTTATTTAGATTCATTTGCTTATAATATAATCTAGCTAAAATCAGGAAAATTATTTTTCATGTGAATCATAATTAATTTATAATCGGTCGTTGTGAAATTCCTCAGGGGAGGCCTTTGTACAGCAGTGGACGACTAGATACTGAATTTTAATTTAATTCCAGTAGATTCTTACGCATCCATCAGAGGTCAAAATTGACTGAAAATTAACTGTATTTTGAAATATTAAGGCTCTATTCACGAAAACTATTTCCACGACTCTTCACGAGGTTGTGGTTCTGCAATAGTCTTCTAAAAACACTGACAGCAAAAAAGACAGCCGATATGCTAGCAGATAGAACCTACAGCCACCAGCAACATTATTGCAGTTTTATACAGCATGCCAATGAATAATTCGTTCAAAGTTTCGCGGCGCAACTTTATACAAATGGCGTGGTTGGCTTCGTTTGGATATGGTGCTAGTTACAAGCTTTTTAGATACACTATTTGTTACATGTAGGTTATAAAATATACTATTTCTAATGTCTACGAGAGCTATCTAGTTGACAGTACTGAGCACAATATTGTGTGCTAAATTAGTTTGACTAAACCCTCGTGGTAAGCTACATATTATGCTTGTGTTACAAGTGGATTAACGGCCAGTTTAATCTACTTCTGCTTCTTGATACAATGAAGACGGCAAAAATATGGCACCTGTAGGTATAGGATGCGCGCCGCGATAAGCGGCTATCACGCCATTTTATCGATTTTGCCTATACATTTTGACGTCGATAAAGTATACCACGGCGCGCTTCCTAGCCCTAGGTCTCAGATAGACGGATTTAAACTGTTCATTTCAGCTTGTACAGGTACCTTTTATGATGATGCTATTTTCAATTGCACTTCTATGCAGAATCAACGACTCAATTTCCCATAGTTAGCACGACCCGCTCGTCTCCCAAAACTTGCGTCGGGAAGTGAAATTTACTGCGTTTTGCACGATTGTTGCAATCCACCATTTTGGGTTATTCCCGCGCACCCATTCGTGGTTCGTTAACTTTGTTATACGAGTGTTCTGTGCTTAGTTCATGATTTCGTTGGGAATAACCCAACGCGAGAAGTACTATTTTTTGGTTGTATTTTTTACGTTGCCAGCGTGCTCTAAAGTGGTTATACGCATATGTAACGGGTGTAAAGTTTAGTGAGGCTAACTACGGAGTTATGGTTTGCTTACATTATGCTAACTTGGCGGTAACTTTGTTGAACGGTACGTTTTGGTTGTGATACGCGGATCTGTGTAACTTCAAATTAAGGGGTAACGTCAGGTTGTTCTGTTATTTATAGTATGATTCGCATTGTTTAACATCTAACCTAAGTATACATATTGTTACATAATAAAATTTAAATATGGATCGTGAAGGTAGGAAAGTTCTCGACGACCACGGGCTGGAAGACGTAGCGTGGGCAGGCCTCCTACTAGGTGGACCAACGATCTGGTAAAGGTCGCGGGAAGAGCCTGGATGCGGGTAGCGCAGGACCGTTCATTGTGGAAAACCTTGGAGGAAGCCTTTGTCCAGGTGGACAACATTTGGCTGAAACGAACGAACTAACGAACGTAAAGGATGTTAGACAAAAACATAGGTACACAATGATGTCAAAGCATGGTCTCCCGAACACCATTGCAATATTTTTGTTTGTGTCTTTATTTTTCGTTTTCAAACGGTTCTTGTCAGCGAATTGATGGTTATTTCCTACCCAGAAAAAATATTCTTAGAGGGTTGGAACCCAAAATAAATCTAACCCAAAAACATCTGCATGACCTAAATCATACACACGCACTATTAAAGTTGGGTCATACATTACCGACGATGCGTAAAATATTCCTGCCAGCCATGATTTACTTGTAGGACATTTATCAACGTGTCTGTCACACACCTACTCGGAATGGTCCGATATGAAATTCAGTTTCGTAAATATAAATTATTGTAGTTCGGAAAACTTTGTACTGAGTGGAAGCGATTGAAGATTATTGGTTTTAGTTTATTTTATCGTAGTACGAGTATAAGACTGTACAAATTGCGAGATATTGGGTTGATTTAGGAGAAGAAAAAAAGTTAACAGAATATTTAAAACACTTTTTTTTACTTTTTAGTATTATATCAGGCAAGTAATTTACTTTCGCAGTTTTTTTTCATTCTCCAAACCTGTACATAAACATTCCAAAAGTCTATGCAAGTTCTAAAAAATCTCATCACTTAATAACAGTAGAAGAACAATAAAAACTTGTAAGTATTAGATATTTATTCCCAATTTCTCTACTAAATGTATTCCCCAGTTCAGATGGCACTAAATCTATGTGCATTACTCAAGCATATCATTAGAGTACGAACAAGCGGAAAAACGTTAAGGCTTAACCGTTACTTAAAGCTGTCCCTCGCTGCACCATTAAGCCTTGTTCTATTGTAGATACTGGGAGAGGACAGTGCGAGCTGCAGTAACGGTTTGGGTTCAATATAATATTTTAAAAGATAACAGCTATTACTTTACTAACTTACTAAGGCCCGATTCGACCAAACTTTTATCCGAGAATAACTCCTGGTATACCTGGAACATTGATAGTTTCATTACGGGAAATATGTCCAAACTGACGATTTATTCTGAGATTAATTATTTAGTCTTGTTTGGTCGAATCCACCCTAAATGTATTATAAATGCAAAAGTAACCCTGCCTGTCTGCCTGCTCTTTCACGATTAAAACCCTTTCATAGTTTGTCAGTTTTTTTTATCTCGGTTTTGAAAACGGGTGAAGTCGTTCTGTAACAGTCCAAAATTCACGTGGGTGACATCGCGGGCAAAATGGCTCTCTCTAGAATATAATGTTTAACTTTTATTTGAAGTACACACCTGAGTCTGAAACAAGGTCTTTGTAATTTATTTATTAGTCTTAGATCGTACCTAAGCTGAGTCAGTCGATTTTAAAATTGAAAAATCATTTTACCTAAAGTCAATAAAATAATAGCTTCACTTTTTAGGAACTAATTTTACGTGTATCTTTTAGAAGCACATAGTATTAGGTGTCGACCCTAAAAGTAACAAAGTAGCGAGACGAAATAAAAATTGTTTCCAGTATGGAAACGGAATTAAAATAATCTCAAAAAAGGCCAAACTGAACATCGCAGTCTGCCAGCGTTAATTATCGAGTACTCTTTGTAGCAGGTTTTCCCAAACGGGGAATTATAAAACGAGCGACTAAAAAAAAACTTTGCGACTGATGATGGCATACTGTTTTAATACCTTGAGCGGTATGAATTTGAGTAAGCGATAAATTTACCAAACTAACGACGAATATTGATCAATAATAAAATCCAGAACGAGCTTACAAAATGTGGGTTTTGATTATTACATTTCAGACATAAAAATACTATCCGGGCGACTAAATTACTAAGTGAGCGACTAGAAATACAGAGAGGGCAACTTTAATATGAAGATACATTAGATTTTTCTAATTGAGGTTTTACTGAACGAACTACAAAAAAGTTTATTCTAAGCAAAGTTGTGTGAGCTGCTTTATTAATGATTATTGGTTACTGATATTATATTTGAGGTCTCATGTTTTTTATTTTGATACGCTTTATTAATGAAAACTACAGATTGTTACAGCGCGCGAATTCGAATGGGGGCGGGGCGACTGTCCCGAATTTTTAACAAAATATGTATGCAAACACGTTTTGGGTCTAGCAATTCTAATTTCAATTTTTTTTTATGATTATATCGTGGAATAGTACGCCCTTACACCAATTACTCATCTACATACACACCCACACACACGCTAACACACACACACACACACTCACACTCTCATCGTTCGTTTCAGCCAAATGATGTCCACTGCTGGACAAAGGCCTCCCCCAAGGTTTTCCACAATGAACGGTCCTGCGCTGCCCGCATCCAGGCTCTTCCCGCGACCTTTACCAGATCGTCGGTCCACCTAGTAGGAGGCCTGCCCACGCTACGTTTTCCAGCCCGTGGTCGCCACTCGAGAACTTTCCTGCCCCAACGGCCATCGTCTCTACGAGCTATGTGCCCCGCCCACTGCCACTTGATTTTAGCAATTCTGCGAGCTATGTCGGTTACTTTGGTTCTCCTACGGATCTCCTCATTTCTGATTCGATCACGCAGGGAAACTCCGAGCATAGCCCGCTCCATCGCCCTTTGGGTGACCTTGAGCCTTCTTATGAGGCCCATAGTAAGCGACCACGTTTCGGATCCATATGTCAACACTGGCAACACACACTGCTCGAAGACTTTCGTCTTGAGACACTGCGGTATTTCGGACATGAGTATATGGCGAAGCTTCCCGAATGCTGCCCATCCGAGTTGGATTCGACGATTGACCTCTTTCTCGAAGTTGGACCTACCTAACTGGACTGTTTGTCCCAGGTATACATAATTGTCGACAACTTCGAGTGTAGAGTCTCCATCCTTCAGAGGAGTGGACACGCAACACGGACATTAGACATGATTTTTGTCTTGACCATGTTCATTTTGAGGCCCACTTGTTGAGAGGCTCTACTG